TTGGAAGATTTTTGAACTGGCGTTGTTATTCTTTATATATAAGATAAGATAAGATTGAGCTGTACAGTGTATCCCGTCTGGTAATCAGGTTTAGAAAATTCCTAATGATCAGTTGTTGTCAGGCATCTCTTTTTCAAATACCATTTATTATAGTCCCTGCAATTCCTTGTTCGAGACTGGTCGTTCCCTTACGAAGCCGAATTTGGCTACAAAGGCGGTCAAAAGATTATGGAGGAACGGCTTCAAGTGAGGAGATATTGCTTGTGTGTATACTCTCGACATGACGATTTTTCTCAGGTTTCTGCGAAACAGCATCCTGAACTCCAACAACTACGGCAACATATTCGAAGTTGCTTCGAAAATATCTCTTGTTTCCTGATGCCTTATCCTGGAATCAAAGTTGCCACCAATCCATCTTTCAATGGATCGCTTGCAGGTAAAGTTGTTTGCTTTTGGACGGCTTATGATTTTTGATATGAAAATTTTTTGGTTAGAATTATTCTAAGGTAATGCTACTGGATCACCAGCAAACTTTTCCAGACATCGACCCCAAGTTCCAAGAACAGCTGCGGATTATGGTACCAGCCTTACTTGATTCAAAAAGTTTATCGATGAAGGAAATCAACGGTCACAAAGTGACTTGCCGAGAACTGGTTGAATATTTCAAAGTGAGTTCCATATGAAATTGGCGTGCAATCAATCGCCATTACGATTTGCAAAACTCGTTTTTAATTATACATTGGGAAAGGATAATAGTCATAGATTCCTAGTATAGTCAACTTTTGTGATTATTTCCATACTGTTATCTTTGTTCTTTTCTTTCCTGAGTCTTTGTCGTTTCCATGTTGTTTTAAAGACTGTGCATTGAATGCTTATTGTTTCAGTCGTACATGAAGATCTTCCAAGGACAAGATTTACCGGAACCTAAGTCCATGCTCATGGTTCGTTCTTTTCCAGTTTTTATCTGACCAATTCTCTTTTTATTTGTGTCTCCTGAGAGACGTGAAAACACTTTGTGTAACTTAAACTCCTATTTAGGCAACAGCTGAAGCCAACAACTTGGCTGCTGTAGCAAGTGCTCGAGCCCTTTACCAAAAAGAGATGGAGGAGGTGAGACACATTGTTTTGGGTGGTCTAACAAGGAAAAGACACTTGGTGACCGTGGCTGTTTGAA